CTCCCGATTGAAAACGCCAACCGCGCCCTCCGCCGCCGCCCGCTCCGCGCACTCCGCACCTCAGAATTTGACTTCAGCACTGCGCCTCCTCTGAGTGTCCGTATACGTTACTCTTTCCTCCTAGTTGTAGGACTTCCACTCAGCCAGCGTTCCTGTGGGTCTGGGTGATGTCCCTTCCGTCTTTTAGTTTCACTTTTGAAATGGTTGTTCGAGGCGGCAAACTCCGGCGTTAACCTATGCCGCCATCTTGGTTCTTCCTAGACTTCTGCATTATTCTTGGTTTCCTGTTCACTTCATTAGAAATCATATATCTGGTTATTTACCTGTGGATATATGTAGATTAGAAATTTGCTAATTTGGAGAATTGTGCTTGGTACAGATGCTTAGTAAATAAGATAAATGATATTCTGAACTACACTTGAGCTTTTACAAGTTTTACTGGTGTATGAGTTACCTATTTTAGCAAAACAAATTATTCTAAAACTTGGCAGCTTTAAAAATAATACTGAACATTATCTCACACAGTTTCTGTGGCTCAAGAATCTGGGAGCATCTTCACTGAGTGATACTGGCTCATGAGGTTGCATTCATAAAGACTGTTGGGTCTGTGGTCATCTGAAGGCTTGACTGGGGATGGAGGATTTACTTCCAAGATGGCTCACTCATATGGCTGTTGGCAGAGGGCTTCAATTCCTCATTCTTTCTTGGCTGGAGGCCTCAGTTTCTTACCAGATGGACTTCTCCAGAGGACTGGTTGTTACAATAACACAGCTGATGTCCTTCTAGAGCAGTGGTTCTCAACCTGCAGTATATAATCTCTGAATTCTTCAAGGAGAATTAAGCCATGTTTTCTCATTTGGGAGAGTAAGGTATTTTCCTGAAAATGCTGAAAACATTGCCATTATGAATGTGTGTTAGTAGTGTTAAATTTCTAAAATTAGTATTAGTTGAATGGTTAGAATGGTTTAGTAGTTTAAAAAAATTGGTATTATATTTCTTTAGTAATTTGTGCATCTCCTGGTTGGCAGACGTAACATAATTTGTGCCTGGCATTCCAGTGATTTTTGAATACTGCTTGTACTGTTCTTTCTTTTTCTTCTTTTTGAAGACCAAATGGTATTCTTTTGGCAGATTAATAAGATTATATTTGGTATGTAATTATAACTTGTTGCAGCTTGTTTCACTTGAACTTAATTTAGGACTTCAACAAAGGGAACATAAGTATTCTCAGCTTCCTAGGGCAGTGATTTTCAACATTTAAAAAAATATATGTATTTTATTGATTTTTTACAGAGAGGAAGGGAGAGGGATAGAGAGCTAGAAACATCGATCAGCTGCCTCCTACACACCTCTCTCTGGGGATGTGCCCGCAACCAAGGTATATGCCCTTGACCGGAATCGAACCTGGGACCCTTCAGTCCGCAGGCCGACGCTCTATCCACTGAGCCAAACCAGTTAGGGCAACATTTTTCATCTCATGGCACACACAAACTAATTACTAAAATTCTGTGGCACACCAAAAATACATATTTTGCCTATCTGACAAAAAATAAGTATTATTTTGATTCATTCACACCAAATGGCTATTGTTGTGTTGGCTATTGTCTTTTTTAAATTTGATAGTCTAAGGCAGTGGTTGGCAAACCAAGGCTCTTGAGCCACATGCGGCTCTTTGGCCCCTTGAGTGTGGCTCTTCCACAAAATACCACATGCGGGTGCGCACGTACAGTGTGATTGAAACTTCGTGGCCCATGCGCAGAAGTTGGTTTTCGGAAAGGAGATAGACAAGTATACAAGACGAGTGTGGATGGGAGAGTTGGAAGGGGTTGACCTCAGCGAACGTACCTCAATCAGACTGAGGGCATTTTTAGCAAAGGCCAGCTTAGGAGTACCCTAATTAATAACAATCTACCTACCTGTATAGTCTAAGTTTAAAAAATTTGGCTCTCAAAAGAAATTTCAACCCTCGTACTGTTGATATTTGGCTCTGTTGACTAATGAATTAGCCAACCACTGGTCTCAGTGAAAAGAGATCAGTGCCCTTGACTAAACATTCAGGTATTGTATGTTTAAAAATTCTTGCAGCACACTGGTGGAAAATTGTTGTCCTAGGGCAGCGTTTCTCAAACTATTTTGCTGTGACCCATAATTGGAGACATTTTATATTAGGACCCATAAGTATACAGATATCTGAAACAAAAGTTTCATAAAATTATACTTACTACAAAAGTGGTATAATCTGTCTGCTTTACTACTGCCCTTGGCTAAGCCACCTTCATCTTTCTTAAATTTCTCCAATAGCCTCCTGATTGTACTTCCTGTTCCCGCCACCCAGCTCTCTTCTCCTTTCTGCTCTCTGAATGATGATTTTAAAATATTAATCAGCCCTGAGTGAGTGGCTCAGTTGGATGGATGCAATGTTGTCCTATGCACCAAAGGTGATGGGTTTGATTCCTGGTCAGGGTGCATACGGGAGCAACTGATAGATGTTTCTGTCTCCCTTCTTCTCTCTAAAATCAATTAATAATTTAAAAAATGGTTTTTGGGTCATAATATCTCACTGATTATTGCTTTTTGTTATAAATCTAGCCTATGCAATTTTAAAAACCTTATGTAATGTTTTAATAAAAATTAAAGAATTAAAAATTGAAGTAGTAATTATTGACCTAAGGTATCTAGAACAAATTATACCATGGATTCTTCTTACTCAGTAGCATTGAGGCCTAAACAGTCTTCTCATCCCTGTTTTCTTGTTTGTTATCCTCACAATCCTGCTATACTCATTTTAATTTCAGTGTATTTTCTGGCCCATTTTATTGATCTACTTTTCCTTTCAGATTGGCAGAAATGATAGCTGTGCTGGATTTTATTGTAACTCTTATTTATAAGCCAGTGTGAGATGTTTGTCATTTTAAAAGACAAGCTAGTTTAGATTAAAAATGGCGGCAGAGTAGAAGGATGCTGCATGGACCTGCTCCCAGGAACAAGCTGGAATTACAACTGAAATATGAAAAGGCTTCCTGAATAATCAACGGAAAACTCATAGAAGAGAACCCTGATACCCAAGGACTGAATAGAGACTGGTAGGAGGGGCGGAGGCACGAAAGGACTGGCTGGGCACCCACTGACGGCAACTGAAGTCCCTGAGAGATATCTCAGCTGTGGGATGGTGCCACTGAGAACTCTGGGATTTAATCCCCAAGCTGGGCTCCCCAGCAGAGAGCACCAAACTGAGGAGGGTACCCACATAACATCTAGCTGTGAAAAGCAATGGAGTGCTGTCTGCCAGGGAGTGGCAGCTGAAAGTTCAGGCACCCTCTTAAAGGGCCAATGCACAAAAATTCCCTGTGGAGTCACCCACCTTGTGCTCTGGCAGAGGGAGGGTGAAGTGGACTGGAGCCGTGAGAGCAGAACCCAGGACTGGGGACTTGGGGAATAGAGCCCAGAAGGCAGATATCCCAAGTTTCCTGGGCTGAATCATTCCCTCACACAGTGCAGGACATCTTTCCCACATAGACATCTGCCTTGCCTGGGGGGAAGACAGTTGACATTTATTGGAAAGCACCTTGCCCTGAGGCCACTGAAGAGATTAAAAGTAACAATTAGCCTCCAGGCAGGAGCAACTGCCCCACCCTGTTGAAAAAACTCTGGCCACATCTGAGGACGATTCCCTGGGGACAATTCAAGTTGGAATCCTATTAGTCTATAGCAGGGGTCCTCAAACTACGGCCTGCGGGCCACATGCAAATACAAATATTGTATTTGTTCCCGTTTTGTTTTTTTACTTCAAAATAAGATATGTGCAGTGTGCATAGGAATTTGTTCATAGTTTTTTTTTTAAACTATAGTCTGGCCCTCCAGTGGTCTGAGGGACAGTGAACTGGCCCCCTGTTTAAAAAGTTTAAGAACCCCTGGTCTATAGACAGAGGTGGTCTCTGGATGCTTTGAGTTTTTGCCTGGTCCAATTAGTCAAAAACTGCCTTTAACACTGTCTAGAGATTGAGGGGTGTAGAGGATTTACCTAATACATAGTCACAAACCCAAACAGACAACCAAAATGAGGAAACAAAGAAACAACCCCCAAATGAAAGAACTAGAAAATTTTTCAGAAGAAAAAAATGAAGCAGAGATAAGAAATGTATCTGAAACAGAGTTGAGTAATGATGTTAAAAATGCTCAACAGTATGAAAAAACATATAGTAATTATGAAAAAAGAACAGTCTGAGATAAAGAAGACATAACACAAATAAAGAACATTGGAAGGAATACACAGCAGATTAGTGGAAGCTGAGGATTGAATCAGTGAACTAGAAGACCGTTGAAAATATCACTCAATTAGGGAATCAAAAAGAAAAAACAGTTAAAATCGGGAGGACAGCTTAAGGGAGCTGTGGGATAATGTGAAACATAACAATATTAGTAGGTGTGCCAGAAGAGGCAGAAAGGGAGAAAGGAATAAAGAAGGTGTTTGTTTGGAGAAATAATGGTAGAAAACTTCCTTAACCTGGTAAAGGAAACAGTCACATCTGTTTAGGAGGCACAGAGAACCCAAACAAGAAGGACCCAAACAGACCCATGCCCAGACACCTCATAATTAAAATGCCAAAAATTAAAGACAGAGAATCTTAAAGGCAGCAAGAGAAAAGAAAACTGTTACCTACAAAGGAGTTCCCATTAGGCTGACACTTGATTTCTCATCAGAAACTATACAGGCCAGAAGGGAATGGCATGAAGTACTCAAGGTAGTGGAAAGCAAGGATCTGAGACCAAGATTACTCTATATCCAGCAAGGCCATCATTCAAAATAGATGGTCAAATAAAGAGCTTCCCAGACAAAAAAAGGCTAAAGGAGTTCCTCACCACCAAGCCAGCATTACAAGAAGAGCTAAAGGGATTGCTGTAAGGGATTGCTGAGAAGAAGAAACAGAGGGAGAAACCTAGCAGTACAGAATTAAAATGGCTATACATAAGTACCTCTCAATAACAACCCTAAGTATAAATGGATTAAATGCTCCAATCAAAAGGTATAGGGTAGCTGAATGGATACAAAAACATGACCCAACTATATGCTGTCTACAAGAGACCCACCTCAAAACAAAAGACACACACAGGATAAAAGTGAAGGGATGGGAAAAAATCTTACATGCAAATGGAAAAGAAAAAAAAGCTGGAGTAGCAATATTCATATCTGACAAAATAGACTTTAAAAGCATCATGCTAAGCGAAATAACCCAGTTGGAGAAAGATGAATATCATATGATCTCCTTCATTTGTAGAATACAATGAACAACATAAACTAATGGACAAAAATAGAGCCAGAGGGGGAGAAAATATTTTAGAATATAGTAGAAGTAATCCTGTTATTTGCAGATTTTTAATATTTCCTACAATTTTTGTGGTATCATACTATGTTAGTATAGTTTGGGTAATATTATTATACTTAAAATCCTTTTATTCTTGAAATATTAATGTTTATTTCATGTAATATATGTAAGATCATTTTTCTTGAATAATTGTTTATTGCATGTAACATCATATTTAAAATAGTTTTTCTTGAGACATTAATGTTTATTGCATGTAACATTATATTTAAGATTGTTTTTCTTGAAATATTAAGGTTTATTGCATGTAACATTATATTTAAAATTGTTTTTCTTGAAAGAAAAAAAAAGACAAGCTAGTTTGCTGAGCCAGACAGCCTGGAATCCTCCACACCTATTTCATTATTTGTTTACAGAAGAGGAAGATGGTAATGTTGAAATGCTGAGTTTTGAGAGTCTGGAGTCGGGGTTTTCCCCCTGGCTTTGCCACTTAATTCATTTGGTGACGTTGAGCAAATTGCTTATAACTTTTCTGAGCTTTAGTTTCTCAATCTGCTGAAATCATTAGATACTGTAGATTTCTTCAAACCCTAAAATTCAGCAATTCTGCTATCTTTTTTATGAGGTTTTGAGACAAAGGAAGAGTCTATTTTTCTACTCTGCCATCCTGATTTTCTCTCATCTGTTGTAATCTGAATGCCTAGAAGAAAGTAAATTTTAATTGATCATACTCAATTATTGTGATAGAATAATTACAGAATTGTGATGATAAATAGTCTGGACATATAAAGTACTATGCAGATGGCAAATAATTATATATACCACTGGGGGGAGGGTGTAAAAAATGGATATAGGCAGTCACTTCATGTACACTTTCTGTGAACTGCTCTGTGGTCACGATTGTATGGTCCACCTAAAGAGCCTTTTGGGCA